ATATACGTTAAATATATATCATGAAATTAAACGAAAATATTCGCTCTGTTTCGCCCGCACAGTTTTCTGCACATTAAAATTGACGATGGCCCCTTCAGCGAGGAGATCGCCCAGAAATATCAGAATACGGCGCTGCAGATTGTCATACTGTGTCCGGCGCTGCTGGCGCTGCCGCACAGTTTCCTGATGGCGCAGCTGACGTCGGTCATACGCGTGGAGAAGGTGCTGGCCATACTGCTGGACGTGGGCGAGGATAAGGTGAAGGAGATGCACAAGACGGCGCTGCCCAACTACTACAAGTGGCGCCGCTGCGTGGTGCGGGACAACGACCAGGCGCAGATCAGCCACATCCTGGGCATTGCCACGGACATCTTGGGCCGGGCGCTGTGCCAGCGTCCGCCGTGCCAGGACAGCGGCAATGGCAACAACAACAGCATTTCGCGCAGCATTTCCAGCTGCTCAGAGGGCTTCACCGTGCTGCCCAAGAAGGTCAAGCAGGGCCAGAACAAGGTGCTGGCCATATTGTCGGAGCCACTGAAGCCGAACGATACGCTCAAGCTGCTCGTGGAGAAGTCGGGCGAGCTGCTCGAGGTGCGCAACTTCAAGTGCCGCAATCCGTACACTGTCCAGTTCGCCATACCCGAATCCTGCATGGAGATCTCCACAATGATTGAGATACGCATCGAGAAGAACAACAAGAGCCTGGGCGCCCGACCCATCAAGTGCGAGAGTCGGCTGCGCGAACTGGAGCAGCTGCTGCGCGTGGAGGACTCGCCCATTGAGTTCATGTGCCACGCCTTGGGCGTGGGTCCGCTGGAGCGGGATGCTCTCGATCAACATCTGCTGCAGTGCTTCCAGCGCAACATGCCGCCCAATTTCCATCTGCTCAATGGACCCAGCGAGCGCCATCCTCACTTTTTCACACGGCTCGAATCGAGCCCCGAGGAGTATCCAACGCTGTTGCACTTCGCCGCCCGCTGGGGCCTCAATCGGCTCTGCCTGCAGCTGATGGAGTGTCCTGGCGGGGATACGGCCTGCGGCGTGCGCAACTGCGCCGGCCGCACGCCCGCCGAGCTGGCCGAGCAGGAGGGACACCACAAGCTGGCCCAGAATCTGGTCAGCTTCTCGGAGTTCCACAATCTCACCATGGTCTATCACTACTTCAAGGGCGTGGACAATGCCAGCAGCGGAGCCAGCAGCCCGGGCGCCCAGACCAAGCCGAACAGCACCAAGGGCGCCCAGGTGGTGATTGGCACAGCCACGCCCTCATCGCCTCGGGGCAAGCCACCCAAGCAACTGCCCACGGCTGAGTACATGGAAATGTCCAGTGGCTCGGAGCGCGAGAATACGCCGGAGGTGCGTGCCAAGACTGAGACCATGGCCATATCGAATCTCAATTACATCAGCGTAGAGACCGAGGACGAGAATCTGCAGAGCTGCTCCACCGAGAAGCATCTGGAGAGCAGCAAGGTGCTCGACCCGCCAACCGGACCCGAGCAAACCACCAACGAGCTGCGCATCAACGAGCCGCCCTACTATCAATCCAAAGAGCAAAACAAATCAGAGGATGTGGTGGACAGCAGCGGAGCAGCCAACTACCAGACGACAGACAAGTTCAGCCAGGAGTGCTCCCAGGCGCTGGAGAACCAGGCAACGGCCGGCAACGACTATGTCATGCAGCCCTCCAACATACCCGTGGCAGCCGCCATGCCCGCCGACGATGGCAACTATCTGTTCCAGCCCTCGAATCGGCCGGTGGAGGAGCCGCTGCTGTTGAGCCGCTCCACCATGCGATTGCCACAGGCGAACGGCTATGGCACACTGAAGCGCAGCGCCAGCGACGCCTCCAGCAGCACTCGGGCCAATGCCGACGATGAGCTGGCCGAGATTATGCACGACTTCAAGAACAATGTGCTGTCCATTCGGGATGTGGAGGTGCTGGTGGAGAAGTGGAAGCACCGCAACGATGTGCAGCAGAGCTTCCGCGAGAAGCAGGAGCAGATCGATCAGCTGCGCCGCGAATACGAGCGCATCCACGAGCACGTCAAGTCGCAGCTGAAGCGCGAGACGCCCTTCGAGCGCATCAAGAAGCTCTTCTCCAGGCAGAAGGGCGCCGACAAGCAGGGCAGCTGCGCGGACAGCCTGCTGGACGAGACCAAGAGCTCCATTGCGACCAGCTGCAGCCTGAAGTCCTCGGCACGGCCCATTAGCTCGCTCAGTCTGCAGAGCGTGTCCAGCTCGAGCTCCTCCTCGGGCCGCCTCAGCACCGGCAGCAACTGCAGCGGCGCCTCGCTAGGCGACTCGGGCACCCACTCGGATCACGAGGATCGGCGTCAGTTTGGCTGCCGTTTGGGCACGCCCGGTTCGCTGATGGACAACTATTTGGTGCCACCGCCGCCGCGTCCCGTTTTCACGCCCGTCTCAACGCCCGGCGACGAGCGCCACCAGATCGTCTTCCCCTCGCCCATGTCCAGCTGCCAGCGCCTGCACACGCCCACCAGTCCCACTGGCTCCGAGCACTACCAGATGTTCCCATCGAATATACCCGTCTATGGCAATGGAAGCCAGCCGCTGTCCACGTCGCAGAGCAGCAGCTATCTCAACACCATCATGGAGGCCAAGGAGCAGGACACCCAGCAGCAGCAGCAGCAGCAGCAGCACAACTACCAAAATGGCGTCACCCTGCAGCCCATCAAGCTGAACGAGCGTCCCAACATAATTTACGGCAAGCTGACCAAGAGCCACTCCGCCAGCGGCTGCAGCTCCTTCAAGCCGAAGCAGGTTGCCTGCCCGCAGGTGGGCAGCATCGAGGTGCAGGCCGAGGTCTATCAAAATGTGGGCGGCGCAGCGGCCGACGAGCCCACAAGTCCCGAAGTTCCAGCCAAGCAGCAGTCGAACGAGGCGCCCAACTACATGAACTGCTAGGCCTGGCTGTAGCATATAAGTCTTCATATGATGCATATGTAGTATATATAGTATATATATCTAGCATAGGCCTAAGTGCATATATAATTTCGATATTGCTGGAATGAGTATAAACTAGTTAAACAAGCGGTTGTAATCAGCCCCACCAAAACGCGCATACATTTAATAAATACATTTCTCGACTACATCTAACTCACTAAGCAAGTACATGTTCTAATACACACATACATAATAATGATATTGTATTATCCTTAGTTATCGTTCTCGATCTTCTAAATGTACATTATTTTGAAACGATTGCAAGCAACCAAAACAACATATCATAGAGCATAAGCCCAAGGTCTCGCGCCGACGAATTGCGTGTTTGTAATTCTAGATCTAAGTATTCCCCCATTATTTGTATTAAGCCTAGCATGCAGCTAAGCATGAAAAACATATATTTTTTCGCACAAGAGTTAAATGCAATAAATTGAATTCGTTAAGCAATGCGAATGCCTTTTCCACTTTCTTTTTTTTTGTGTTTTTTGGCATTGCACGCGCAAAGCCGGTCAGCTTTTTGGTGGTCTCCGCTCTCAGCTCACGGCTCGGTTGGAGCCAACAGGAAATCATGCGGAAGCCCACTACACGCAAAATGGGATTGCGACTGCCAGCGTAAATTTTAACTGAAAACACAGCAAGAAACAAGAAGAAAAGTGAGTCGTATAGTTCACCTGTAACGACTGCCAGATACGCTATGAAGTTTATGAGTCAACAGAATTTGTGAACCAAAACTTGTGCTGATTGATTTCGATCTGCTTATAAATATTATTTGCACTTAAAATTTTTTATTTGACAAAGCTAGCTAAAAAATGTAGTTAAAAGTTCTTCAAAATAAACAAACATATAAAAAAAAAAGTTTTAACCTATCTTCTTTGATTTCCACTTTTTCATATTTATTATCATCAAAAAAATAAATTAAATATTTTGATTTAAATTTTTAATTAGTAAAATTATTCATACAAAATATTTAAAAAATGTTAAACATTTTTTTTTACTTAAAAAATATTATTCTATTAAAACTTTTAATTGTGCTCTAAAATGAATCTCGTGAGCCCTCAAAAGTATGCTAAGTTTTTTTTCAAACCCTAACCTTAAAGGATTATCAGGTATATCCATTTTTTTTGGTGAAATATAGCAACTACTTGTTATACACTTTTTGTTAATGACTTTTCATACACCCACACACACACACACACATACGCAATCGCATGCACATGCATTCACTTACATGGCCAGCCAAGCTTTAACTAAGCCTGTAATTCTTAATTCATATTCACACTCGCCATCATTGCGTACGCGGCATAGTATTTCTCCCAGCTGAGGGCTAAGCCGCCATTTTCCATTTGCATTACATGCTGCTCCATGGGAATATGGATGGCTTCAATGCCAGCCAGCCAGCCAGCCTCGCTCACACCCACAACATCCGGCTATTTTCGGCCCTTGCCGAACCGCACAGCTGTTGATGGGCCTCTCAGTTTTTTGTGCGTTTTTAAATCTATGCGTGAGAGTTTGAGTGTGTCTGTGTGTGTGAGTATGTGTGTATGTGAATTTTTTTAACGAGCTCAGAACTCAATGTGTGCGCAAAGCGGAGTGCCTGAGCACCTGTGAGAGAATGTGAACAGAGCTTTCGGAAAGCTTCCAAGCATATGTATATCAAAGAGAGCTTTTCGAGCAGGGCGTCTCAGGCTAAACGGCTGAATTGTAGGCAAATATTATAAATTATATATATGTGCAACAAAAGGAATATTTTATTTGACTAAATGTAATTAAATTAAATATAAATTTTAAATTTATCTTCTTATTAGTTTATCTTTGCCAATGACTTAACCTTAATCACCCTGTGCTTGGTACAATGTCCAAAAGTTCTGTTCAATGCCGCCAGTCAAAACAAACCAACTGAGAGCATGGGAAACAGTGAGAGAGAGAGAGGAGCTGGAACAGAGAGCGCAATTGAGTGAGAAGCAAAAGCTTTTTTGCTTTCTGCCAGGCTTAAGCGAACAAGTGTGTATAAAAAGGACATTTCCTTCAGTCGACTCTGTTAATTAAGCGCAACTGCGACGCAAGCGTGCGCCACAACGTATTTGTGCCCACATAAAATGCATAATTTACGCCCAAGTAAATACTCAACGTCTGTTACAGTTAACTCAAACAATAAATAAACGTAAAAAGTGGAAAAGAACTTTCAAATTATAGCTGAGTGCAAAGTAAAATTAACTTGATAATACGTGCAGGGCTTTGGCGCATCCTCGTCGGCTCCTGCTGCTAGTGCTGCTGCACTCTCGTGTGAAAACAAAAACATTGGCTAAACTTTTTGAATGCTGGCATCTTTAACTGCGTAGTAACCAGAGTAAAGACGGCCATTAAATATTTAAAACTGATTCAGCGCTAATTGAACGTGGGAGCTGCGTAATACCCAAAGCAACCATAACGACAGCAACTGCAACACTCGGAGTCTTGGAGGCGCAGAGTCTTGGGAAGGCCCCGCTAATAAATAATTGAAGGTAGGCAACGTTGACAGCAAACTCGTGAAATTTATGTGCAATTCCGCTGGCTCCGTTGACCAGGCAGGCAGTCCAGGGCAGCAGCTCGCATTCATTTCTCATTTTCCGTTTGTTTGCCTTTCAATTATGCTCTGACTGCGCTCGTCCTGCAGCCTGCGGCCAAAGTTCAATTTGAATTTGTTTCCACGTGAACATGCGAAAATGCAACCACTTCAAAGTTTCTGCCACGCGTAGCATTTTTAATGATGCACTAAAAGTTAATGGCCCAGGGATCAGGCTCTCGCATTCGCTACTCGCCTTAATGAGAGGCGCTAAAATGTTTGTGAACAGGTTACACGCTTATAAGTGTATCAAATATGCACAAGAGAAAAGTTTTACCGACAATTCATACAATATAGTGTTTAAACACTTGAGAATTGGAAGGTCAAATGGTCTCTAATGAGAAGATTTTGGGAAATTAGTATAACTCTTAGTGACATGATTTCTCTTATATGACATGATTTCTTTAATCTTTACTCTTTCATGCCTCAAATGCATCTATGTTACATAGAATATTTTTTACTTACTCTGCTAAGCTTATGAGTGATCAAATTATTTTTAAAAATTATATTGGTATTTATATATTTATTGAAATTATTATATATATATTTATAAGTATGTCTGGCTGCTAGGTCATAAAGTACAGCAGATACAGAAGAGTATAATTTAAAAAAAAAAACTATCTAGTAGTAAAGCTGTAAGGGAAGTTGGCTTAAGTCACATACAAAATAATTTTGTATAGGAATTAAATATTTCGTTTAACTTACTCTTCATAGTAATATATTTTAACTTAATACATTTGCATATTTTTAATATATGTTAATTACACAGATTATAATATTTTATATTATATATGATATCATTAGATCATCTAAAGTATGGTATATGCATTTTTGTTTACTATTAAACATACTCATGAGTCTTTTATACCTCTTTCACACATTTCTATACACATTATTTTTCAACAATTAAAACGTGGGACCAAATTCTTAGAAAAAGTTACAAAAGAGTAATCAAAATAACAAGTCTTATAAGCGTTGCTTTTTCAGTGCATACAAATACATATATTTTTATAGTTTTGTTGACTGCTGCAATACTTGTAGCCAAACAACAACTAGTGTACGTACACACGCACTCGCACACACCCACACACACCTGGCACACATTGCATTTATTGTATAAATTCTATGGCACAAAAACATATACAAATGCATTCATATAGAGGACAAAGCCAAGAGAGATGCTGTTCGCCACAAAGCACGGCTTTCTTTTTCTGTGTCAGGGGGCAAGTGCCTTAGAAGCTGCCACGCGCGCTCACACACACACACACAGAGAGAAAGAGCTTGGTATTATAATTTTAATTACCACTTGAGAGGCAGACGCCTGCCGTGAGTCGGCTAAGTGGTTGCGTCTAATATAGACGCAGCAAGTATATACCAGATATAGTATACATGTATGTATACTTTATATAAAAGTCTATATATACATAGAAACTGCGCGTTGACAATGCGAAATGCGCGAACAATGCATAGAATTCCATTCAGATGTATTGCTTGACGGGCAGCGGTGAGCCTTTCATTCTTTTTTTGCATTCGAGCGGAATTGAAAACATGGCAACTGCTTACAGCTAGCAATATTGCGCATACGCCACGTAAGCATGTCAAAGGAATGCCACAGCATAATTGCGCATTTGCCGCATCACTAAGCTGCTAAGCCATAGCTCTGGCTCTGGCTCAGTTATTTGCCACATCTATCGATTAGCCATGCTTAAAGCGTAAACAAATATTTGATGAGCTTTAAGCCGCCATTAAAAAAAACCTAGAGAGCTGAAATTTTTAAACGAAACTTTGCGAGCAAAATGTAAAGAATAAGTTTCGCAAAACTTTTTAGCGGTTGCTTAAAGACTTAAGCAGCTGCAGAAACTTGGAATTTTTTATGGCTCACTTTCAAAGTGGCTTGCACAGAGCGCAGCACACTTTGGCTGGCGGCTTTTGGCAGCCACTGCAGCTGCAACAAGGCCAAATTGGCAATGCGATCATTATAATCATGCAATTTGGACACTGTAATAATGGCCAGTCGGCAGTCAGCAGCAGTCAGCGCCAATAGCCTCAATCGCCACACGTAATAGGATAAGCGCAAACAGAGAATGCTATAACCGTTTCCAAAGTCCTCCTGATGAACATCGTAAATTCGTTTTTATTGAATAATACCATAGGACAGTTATGGCCAGGCAAGGACAAAACAAAACAACAAATGTTTGTATGTATGCAGTGTGAGAGAAGGGGCGGTAGAGTGTATGTACTTGCCTTTGGGGGCGTCTATTGTTTATCCAATTAAATGTTAGAGTATTGTCTGCTCTCACTGAGCGAAAGGCGAATGCAAAAGGTTTTTGGTTTATTTAACCGACTCTTTTGGCAACTGCCTTTGCCTATGCCACGCCCCTGGCCAAAACGCAGCAATTTGGCAAACACATTCACACAGTCGCGACAAATTCGTCGCCAAAAATGTTTTTTGTCCTCTACTAAATTATTGCTCAGCTGTGGCCGTGGTTCGTTTTAGTTGTGTGTTGCCTGTAACTGCGCTATGACCGACATGTGACCCCAGCTCACACACACACACACACACACACTGAGAGACACTCGTCCAAATTCAACTTCATGCTTCGCTGGCTTTAAATTCGTTTGCATTGAAAAGGCTTGCGCAATAATTCATCAATTTGAGTGTCTCGGCCACACGGCAAACGTTAGCAGCACACAATTTGCCTAGCGGGCGTATTAATTATGCAACTCGTTTAGCTGCATCACAACTGCAACTGTTCCACTCCCACGCCCATCCCATATCGCACCGCCTCAAGCAGTTGGCGCCGACGTGGAGTACGCAACACCTGTGCAGCCAAATGCCATTGCTAATTAATCAAGCTGCGGCTGAAGTTTATTGCAGCACTTCAAGTTTCACTTTGTGAACGGAAAACTTTAACTCACGCGCAAAAGTAAATAATAATAGATGAATTTTTCATTCGAAATGCAATTTTCCTTAAAGAACCGGCAAGAATGTTGCATTGGGCGTGACTGACTGCATAATTATAGTTTGCAATTTAACTAAAAAGAAAAAAAAAAGACAAAACCGTTATACAGTATGCGAAAATCAATATTTCAGAATGTGACAAACCCCAAGGGGCGGGAGCTATGAAGGCATTCATTTTCCTATAATTGCACGATAGCCACGCACCTAGTTGGAGTGAATACTGTTTAATATTGAAGAAGCGTCCGTAGTAAAAATTTGAATAGATCATAGGGCGAAAAGTACCAACGGCTTTAAGTTTCAAATATAATACTTAAATAATAATGAAAAGGAGTCAAAAAAAAAGAACACTGTACAAAATCTATATTTAATGTGTAAATTTATGGATTATAAAATTAAATACTTAGTTGTCTATTTAAATGCAGTTTAAAATATTAAGTTTAAATTTTTATATTACATTACCTTTTTTCTTATTGAACATAACCTAAAAGAAACATTAATTTCTTCTTAGAAATCATATCTAAAATGTATATTAATTTTGTCTGTTTCATATATACTAAATAACTATTTTTGAAAATACTCAAATTTAAATAATTTTTTCTTTTTTATTTCTCTTATTTTTCTTCGACTAAAATCAATTTTATTTGCTTACATATTGTGATTTCGTAAATTTCATATTTTTATGGAACCATATAGCATATAGTTTTTTATATATTCATATATTATTATCATTATTTGTATTTGTGATACTTTATTATTATTCATTATTAAATATTTGTGATACTTTTCAAACCTTTCAGACATACATTTTCAGTGTAAGAGTTCAAGTACTTGTTTAGCACTTGCTTCAAACAATAATAACAATTCTGTGGGGAACCCTCCACTTCAATCATAAACAGATTTTGTGTGCGCTTTCAGCTTCGTTTGACCTTTAACGAATTGCGAATTTGAGAAGAAGAATCATAGCAGCTGCGAGCATTTCTGTATTGTTGATTGTACATATATATTTATATTTTTGTATCTACAATATTTTTATAAGCGGATTATTTCTATGCAAAGCGAACTATAACTTTATTGGGTTCTTCAAATTAATCGTTGTATTTAATCGTTATATTTGAAATGGATTCTACAGAAAATGGAATAAGTTTAGGATAGTCAACTCAATGTTGCTTTAAATACAAAGAGAAAGAGAGTGAGAGAAATAGTAAGAGTAAGAGTGAGAGTGAGAGAAAGATGGATAGAGTTCAATAGTGTAATTAATAGAAAACACAAGTCAATTGAGATAGTAATTATTTAATCTATATCTATAGTTAGCAAACTGAGTTCATAGCATGTAATCCACAGGCTTAAGCCAGGTGAGAGTCGATGGCGGACTTTAGTTGTGAATGAAACTAGAAATGGCTTGGCTCGATAATAATTTCAGTGTTTATAGCTTTCTGCTTGTTGAATGCATTAATGACCAATAATTGACAAAGGACACGCAAGCTGTTAAGGACTATTAAGTAAATATGTATATAGTCAAGACTGCAAAATATGTATTTCATATATACCTTAAAGCTTAAAAACTATAGCTATAAGTTAAAGGGCATCTGAAATCTTTATCGAGACCAGAAACACGCGGAAAGTAAATTTTAAAAGGCCAAAACTTTTAGGCCGAAATGCAACATGTTTTCAACATCGAGTGTTGAGTGAGTGCTAAGTGCTGAGTGTTTGGCAGAAGTGAGCGAACAAACGGAATGGCCAACGGGGCAGCTAAACAAAAACTTTCGGAAGACAGTCGCAAATTTATATAGCCGTAGCCGTACAAGCCGTCGCGTGACAGCCAGGGCCAAATGCTGGCGGCCCAGACAAGTCTGACATTTGAAAATGGCAAAGCAACAACACAAATACGAGACGCGAACCTAGAGCAGATCAACCGACAAGCAAACAAATCGCAGACAATTGATTGAGTGACGTGCTGTTTGCCCGGGACTGTAACTGAGACAGGACGAAGCAACAGTGACAGCGACAGCAGCAACAGCAGCAGCAGCAGCAGCAGGAGTGGGACTCTAGAGCAGACTGAAAGCAATTAGAATTCAATACATTCGCCGGCAAAGTATGTAATTAAATGTGATTTAGAGGGACGGTGCACGGTAGAGCAGCTGACAGCAGAGCTTAAAGCGAGCTGAGTTATGAGCCAGGTACAGTCACATCAATTTAAATATGGCCAGCCATACAGATATAGATATGTACATATAAACGACCCTGCACTGCGGCCGACAGCGTAATAAAGTAAATCAAAGGATTGTCGTGCCGTAAATCATGTGAAAGTCCTTGACAGTGTGCGCCAGAGAGCGGCAGACACGACTGCCGGCACCAAAGCCAACGTCACTTAGTCACTACAATCTTATATACGACTTTCAATTACTGAATGAAGCGAACAAACACACACACACACACACACACACACACAAGTAGCCTGACTGAATCGGCTGCATAAATAACAAATATTTCGTAGCATAACTGCAGGCGTTTCATGGCGAGCGCCAATTAAGACCCAAAAACGTAAACAATTTCTTGCATTTCCATTTCACACCAGCTACCAATGAAAATAACATGACAGCTAACGACAAGCATACAAATTGCATACTGTTCGACCATGAGATACCCTGTAAATGCAATACAAAATATATTTATTTATATATTTCTTTTTATAATTGAATAAAATAATTGCTATTGTTATTACGCTTAAAATATTATTTTTAAATATTATTTTATTTTTTTATTTTATTATTATTATTATTTTATTTTATTTATTTTATAGTTTTTAGAGAATTTAATTTTCAATTTTCTTTACTTTGCCTTTTAGACATAAATTTAAATATAATTTAAAATATATTCGAAACTCGAAAATCGGGATAAATCGAGAAAAAAAATCTATCCCCTTGAAAAATTCGTTCTCGATAATAGATCTTTTCATTTTGAGCAATCGGAACTCGACTGTATAGGACTCATAGAAGTCACAATCGTCCCTTAGGCCAGCAATCATCAATCAATCAATCACATGTACTTTGAATATCAATTTATATTACTTAACAAACTGCTCCGAAAGATATTCAACTTTATGCAGTTTACAGGGTATAAGTACGTTTGCGTGCTATGTTGCGTTAACTCTGCTCAACTAGTAGCCCCCATCACACAAAGAGCCGCCCAACCACCCAAGTACCAACACAACATGCATCAGCTACGCCCCCATCAGCCCAGCCCAACCCAGTTGGATTTCGCTTTTTGCCGCAGACTTAACCAAATAGTATATATCTGTGTGGCCTCGTCTGTGGTCTTTGCAATGCCTTTGTGCCGAAAGTGAATGTAACGCACACACACACACCCACACACACACATGTGCGAAAAAGGTCGAGCTGTATTTATCTATTTGCATTGAAATTTGCATTTGGCATTTTGAGTTTTTAGCTCTTTGTGAAACTTTTGAGTTTGATTTCTTGCGTTCGCCCGCTTTAAGCAGAGCTCGTTTAGCTGCTTAAGGTCAGCGGAAATGTTATCCAATTAGCGATAATCATCGATTTAATAGCACTTGCTGGGCGAATCGATAATTTGCTTTTGTTGTCGTCGCCTTTGACATTTGAAATATTTTTTGCAGAGAGCTGACAGAAGATGCAAAAGCGCGTTGCTTAGGCCAGAGTCTCAATTGATATTGAAAGCCCAACAAACCCAGAGTCATGTCGAATGTAAGTAGATCGCTTTGAAATTCGATTAGAGCTAAAGGAACTTTGCATCGATTGCAGCTGCTTGACATGGACAAATCAAACGGCAACGGCGTCTATGCGACCGGCAGTTGCCACACGGATACAGCAGGAGCAACAACAACAACAGCAGCAGCAGCAGCAGCAACAGCTCTGAACATCAATAATATTATGAATGGGGCCGCAGCTGCAGCGGCGGCAGCAGCAGCTGCCACGCTGCCCACGTCCGCCTCCAGCGAGGACCTCAGCCAGAGCCTCTCCGAGTACACAGACGCCGATGAGAGCATATCAGCGCCCACAGAGTTTCTCGCCGAGGTAAGTGAAATGTATTCAAATGCAAATTGTGAGAGAGAAAGAACAAAATTTAATTTGCGAATCCTTTCAAGAGGATTACTGAAAGTTGGCTTTGTGCGCGCTGGGCTTATTGATTGCTAATAAATTGTTTTCAAGCGCATTTAACTTTAAGCCCCGCCAACTTTTGCCGTTGCAGCCAATGTGGGCCACTGGGCCGGCCCATTGTTCAGCTGATAACTGTATATATTGCTATATATATATATATGTATACCAAGAGCTTGACGCAATCTTATCTCATTTGTTTTTGTTCTATAATGCAGTTTCTGTCTGCTGTCATGCTCAAGGACTACAAGAAGGCTTTGAAATATTGCAAATTGAGTGAGTGAGCAATTCCTTAACCCCTCCAACTAGATCTATTCATCTGAGTATTCAACTTTTTGCAGTACTGCAATATGAGCCCAACAATGCCACGGCCAAAGAGTTCTATCCGCTCATACTGGACAAGCTGCGCGGTAGGTCTCTATAGACATCTATATACAGTTATATCGTTTGCAGCGTGAGTTAATTAATCGCTTAATTTGCAGTGGCCGCATCGAGCGATAGCGACGAGAACTATAATAAATCCTCATCACCTGAGCTGGCATTGGATTTGGAGGCGCCGTGCGAGGATAGCGCTAGCAGCCAGGAGGAGGACAACGATGATGATGTCGATGATGTGGACGATTGCGATGATGTGGACGACGATGAGGATGACGATGATGACATTGACAATGTCGACGTGGAGGAGGAGAGCAGCAGCAGCGGCGATGATTACGAATTACCCATTGATGAGCAACAGGACCCGGCTGCCGCAGACAGCCTCGCTGCGCACATAACTCATTCGCACTCACATTCACACTCACACTCGCACTCGCATTCACATTCGCATTGCCACTCCCACAACGATTCGGGCTCATCGCGCAATTCGTCGAGCGGCGGCGGCGGTCGCAGCGACAATACCACACACTCCTACTCCAGCCTGCTGCTGGAGGAGGAGGACGACATTGTGCCAGTCAATTTGCAATTTGGCAGCAAGGAGCCGAACGCAACAGATTTGGATGTGAGCAATGGTAGGTGCCAACTGCATAATATACAAATTATTACCGATACATCAAACTATATATGTATATCTATATGTACTATAGGCAACAAGGTGGCGTCGGCATCGTGCAGCGATTCGGAGTCACCCACAGAGCCGCTCACCCAACGTTTGGCCGCCATTTTACGCTCCAAGTGCGGCGTTTCGGCCAGCAAGGATTGAGAAGCCAACATATGCATATACTCCATACACACATGCAAGTGTATGTGTGTATACCTACATATACATATATATATATATCTATATACATATATATATGCATAACTATATTCTTGTACTTCTACTCGTACTCAATGAGCTAAATGTTTACAATTCCTTTGCCCAAACTAACTAACTAGTCTCCACTAGTTGACATTCGCTTTACGAACCTAGAAACCGTCCCAAAAACAGCATACAAGTATATTTCCGATTTGCAAATAGCTATAGCAGCGAGTTATCCTTTTTTGACAAAACAAAACACAAAACCAATTCCCTAGACAAACATATCGTACAAACTTAATAAGTACTTAAAGTAGTCACATTTGTATTGTGTATGTAAATGGATAATATAACCTAGATGATAATAATCTGCTCCATTTGTTATAGAGCCCTCAATAATAACGAATATACTATTATATACATATATACACATATATATACACATTTATTATACATACAAACATAACGAATGATGTAACAGAATCTATTTTAGTAAGAGACACACCCATGCAAAAACGCACAGGACTTGGAATATTGTTGGATAACTTTACACGTTTAGCGTTTTATAGAGGGCGATTTTTTTCCAAACAATTTATAATATAGTATTACAAGCTAAGGCAACGGAACGTTTGGATAAGTCTGATAATATGGAATGAGGCAAATGGAACTACACTTGAAATGGTCCAAAAGTCATTAACTATACTTATAGATATATACGAATACCATATATAGAATTCATACGCGATTTTAGTAATTTATTAAGATTGATTTTTCTCAGTATACGTAAAATTTCCGATGCAACCATATAACTATAGATATGTAACTTATGAAGCCCGCTCTACGAGCTTTACAAACTATACTCTAAACTTCTGTTTGTGGAATGAGATTTGATAAGATTGAACTCTCTGTATATCCTGAATATTTGTAATAATTATTATCGGTGTTTGCAATTCAGTTCTAATTCAACTGTATGTAATCATATTATATTCGAATTGTATTATACGTATAACGGATTGTATCATTAAAAGATGTAATAAAGAAAGAAGGCGAACACTTGCTGCGTTTTATACTTCTTACATTAGGAATTCTCTAGATCAAAATTTATATATTTGCAGCTGGAATTTATGTTAAGATACATATGTATGTGCATACAAGCGATGTAGACTTACAATTCACATTCACATATAGACACGATCGGGCAGACTTAACGCCATGTTGACCTCTCCCTCATTGTGGGAACATATTTTAAAGCCTGCAGTCACACTTATGCAAAAAGAAACTTGAACTGACCAATTAAAACATCTGCTTTGGCGCCACCATTAAAACAACGGGTTCAAAATTATTGCCACCAATGACGTGAGCGTTGTTCAAACATGTATTACCTGTCTCGCTCTTCGTTTCTGCAGACATTGCCTGCAGTCCATACTGTCATCATTAAGATAACGGGATCCAGATCACTGCAACCAATGACGTGAGCGCTGTGATCAAGATGCTTCTCTCTCTCTCTCTCTCTCTCTCTCTCTCTCTCTTACCTGCTTAATGGCCGCAGTCTCCGCTATGCCTACAGTTCACACTTTAATGGTTGCGAAGGTAGCCAATAGCGTGACAAAATGTATAAAGAAATTAAGTTCCACTGTAACAACATCCACAGCATCCACTTTCGGCTTTGTAGACAATATTATAACTATTATTATTTATATAAATAGTAAGAATAATAAGAAAATGATATAGACCATATATTACATTTCAAACGCTTGAAAAGATTTATTTTAAATCGATTATTATCAAAGAAACTTTTTGTGTCAGTATATATTAATATATGACATGACTTGCATTCGAATAACGTATTTATGTACCGTAAGTCTATTCGTTTATTTTCGGCATTTTATATTTATTTTTTTTTTTTTTTTTTTGTTTCATTAATTTGATTTATAAAACTTTAAACGTATAATGATCGTTTTTAAAAAACACTTATGATGATTTTTTTTCATTTGTATGATTCATGATAATCAAGACTATTTTCACTGTACTGGACAGCCAGTTTTATGGTTATTGTGAACGCCAGTTGGACTGTTTGTATAACTGTATCAAAAGAGTTTGTCTTGAAAATCGATAATACAAAAAGTCTTCAAAATTGTATCTATGTATGTATCTCAACTATTTCAGTGCTGAAATATATATGTATATATATGTATGTTTAACTTCCATGCCCCACTATATGGACATCTGATATGTAACAAACTACTGTGATGAACAATAAATTGTTTTTTTTTTTTCTTTTTTTTGTTTTGATTGCATTCTCAATTTAAATACTGCTTCTGCATTTGCTTTATATAATACTTATGTATTTGATTCCAACCACTTGAAAAATTATTGTTTCTATGTATTATCAGCACCATTCAACTAAAACTGTACCAAAAACATACAAAGAAATAAGTCAAGTCATAACAAAATTATTTCTATTATCATGTTGCGTTATAAATAATGTTGCTCAGAATTAAAATCAGGTAATGAAGCTTTGTTTGTATCGTAAATTGCACGTATTTGTTTCTGTTCTCTGAATACCATATACGCATATACGGTATGTGTTTGATTGAATCATTGAATTTGAGATATATATATATTTAAAGACAAACGATAATTGTGATTTCTCGAATACTTTCATAATCTAACTTAAAGTTACACACATCTATATTTTATTGAAAATATGTTGATAATTCTTTCCCCATGGTTCTTAACAATCATTGTGAAACATTATTTGTTTTTGCTATTCCTCAACTCTTTTATCCCCTACCATCTACGATTCATCCAATTATATATCGTATATATATGTGCCTTAACATTACATCTAAATCTGTCCGAGACATGCAAGTATTTACATTAATTTTGTGGACTCAACAATATTAAATTAGTATGTTTATCCTTTTTACTGAACTCTCAAAGTCAGGGTGCTTTAGAAGTCGGCTAAGTCTGCGTGTATATGTTTATCGTAGAGTATATCGTATATGCACTTAATTATTACATTCAATAAAAAGAAACTTTCATTTGAAAACTTCAGGTGTTCCTTGTACTGTTCAGAAATATTACATATGCGTATGTGTGTCTGTGTGTGTGTGTGTGTGTGTATTTATACTTCTTTATGCTATAACATGTTTGTGTGTATTAGTGCAAATAGAGGTAAACGATATTGTAATTAGCACTACAACAATAAAAACAAATGAGAAAAAATAAAAAAAAAAATAGTTTCCATACTGCAGCTTACACAAAATATTTAAAGTATTTATTAAAAATACAACATTAATGCAAAATAAAACATTACGTTGACAAAAATAAAACTAAACGTAATCTATTATTAAACTTAATTTATCATTAATCGTAATTATATTGTTTGATATTTTCTATCGTCAAGCGGCGATAGTCATATGCTAAGCAATATGGTGGCCAAGAAGAATAAAGACGAAAAGAAAATTAAAGAAGATGATAAAAATGTTTCTACTCATAGAACTGAAGAAAAGGGAAAAGACAGCAATTTGAAAATGGATGAGGAGAAAAAAGAAGATGCTGATTTGTCAAATGGTCCTACGAGCATGAGTGCTGCTCCAAAAGTATTGAAAATGGACAACAAATAGAAGAACAACAGAATTAAACTAGATCCGAAAAAATAAAAGAAACGATCGACGAACATAATAAAGCAATCGTTGGCGATTGTAGTTCCTGGCTAACATCAGGAACATTCTGATCTTGTCGTATCCCTTGCACTGCCATCATTTGCTTTTTTATGTTCGTCAATCATAAACCTCATTATTTAACAATGAAATCAAGATCTGGGCAATAATTAAACGAACTAAAAACGAAAAACAATTAAATTTACGTAGTGTGTTTATAGATATCAGTCGATGAAGATTATGTGAGATGAGCTACAAACCATAATCGGGCAATGTGTGTGGAGAGAATTTCGCATTTCGAAACTTAGCCCTGGCTATAGATACAATTTTTTAAAAAATTCCAATTAATCTCTCTGGTGTAGCCCACATATGTTAGCGCTTTGTTCTGTTCTTAGCTTACACTAAGCTAATGTCTAAGGGGTGCAGGGCGGGCGCAGGGGCTTTTGTGTATCTATATATATATATGTATATAAATGGCAGCTGCCGAATTGCAGATCGCTGATCGCTAATCGCTGCTCTTCTGTGTGTATGTCTGTGCGCATAATGGCTATGCACAATACTACGGTAAAACTAAAGAGTTGAATATATATCTAAATTAAAAATAACGATCTTATATGCTCGTGGCTATCAAATCACAGTCTAACGGCGTCGGCTGTGATTTAGTACCGCTTCTATAAACAATTTGTGGTCTCCTTTGCATCCTCGATGTTGGTGTGGTTCTTGATGAGCAACTGTGTGGTTGGATATTTGTTGAGCTGCGCAAACCGCTCCATTACACAGGAGGAGCTGAGCCGTGCCTCGGCATCGTGATCCCAGCACTCCTCCATCGTGTCGCAGAATATGCTGAGACCCTGCGGATACGTTTGCTTTAAGTATGACAAAATACAATCAAATATGTGAATATTCTCTCACCATATGGGAGCGCCAGGAGTTAAGCAAATGTGGACGCAATTTCTTCATTACCACGCTCTCCTGCACTTCATCCAGCGTGGGCCGCTGTCCTAGCTCCGCTTCGAATGGCAGCTGATACTCGCCCACGGGGCCCACAACGTCGCAGCGTGAGACCATTTCCCACAACACTAATCCGCAAGCATAGACATCGATGCGCAAGAAGGCATCACGATTGAAGTTAATGGCACCCTCGAGAACCTCGGGCGCCATGTAGCGTCGAGTGCCCACCTGGCCGTGTGTATCGCCGCACGGTTTGCCCGGCTGAAAGATCATGGCTAGTCCGAAATCAGCTATGCAGGCCGTCAGGTCTCCCTTGAGCAGCACATTCTTTGACTTAAAGTCACGATGCGCTATTGAGGGCTTCAGGCCTTCCGTCTTGCTGGCCGGTATCTCCTCGTGCAAGTGCGCCAGGCCATTGGCCATCGATTCGGCAATGCGGCACAGCTCCGTCCAGGTAATCGTATGGGACTTCAGATAGTCGCACAGAGAGCCATTATGCTGATATGTGGATATCAGCCAATACTCGGGCTTATCCAAGTGCTTTTCCACGCCCAAGAACTCCAAAATGTTGGGATGACGCATGCGCGGCAGTTTATATATCTCGTTCTCAGTGGTCCACGAGTCCTTCTCCTGCATGCGAAAGATTTTCACGGCCACGTCCTGGCCGTGCAGCTTCGCCTGCCACACGTCGCCAAATCGCCCGCTGGCCTTCTGCTCCAGCAGCTGTATGGGCCGGTTGTTCAGCAGCGGCGATGAGTTCGTGATTTCCGCCTCGTGCTAAAAGGGAAATCAAATAGTTTCCATACAGTTGTGCGAACAGGTGAGGAAAAAGCAAAGGCAGCGGCCACTTACCTTCGGTATCTCGTTGAAGTGCACCCGTTTGAGCCGTCGATAGGAGAAGAAACTGACCACGGGCACGACCATCAGGACGGCCAGCACCGACGACCACAATATGTAGTAGTTCACATTATTATCGTCCTGCGTCTTCTCTTTGGGCACTGCAAGCAAACAATTAGAGACCTTATTGTATGGCCGTTTGCACATGTATGTGTAAATTGTGAATTGCATATGCATGAGGCGCCCTTTAAATGCTCGCCACAGGTGAACAACATCTCAAGTGGCACCTGTAGTTGGCACAGAGGGCTGACTGCCAGGCCCACAAGCGAAGCGGTAAAAAAGGAAAAAACGAAAGTTCGCCCCCAATTTGGCATCTCTTTATGCGCTCATATATACTATATATATATATATGAAATTTATATGCTGAGATAAAAGGGAGCTAAGCAGAAAAAGAGGAAAACAAAAACAAAATAACAAAGTGCAAGAGGCACGCCACAAAAGATACATGCCGAAGAAAATGCAAAGCCACCCTCAATATACAGCATAAAAAAAAAAATAACGAAATAAAAACAAAACAAAAATGGGGGAAAATACAGCAACAAGAACAGAGAACATAGAGCGCAGCATGGCGAAGGGCGTACGGCGTAGCATAGGGAAATTGCAACACACGCGCCAAGCTTATGAGGACGCTGGATGCTAGATGCTGAGAGGCAACTCCAGCGCGTGCACAGAGAGTTCGTTAACATGAAATAAAGTCGCAGGGGTCGCCTCAATTGGGGGTTGAGCGAGTGTACATAGAATAAATATGTAATGCTTGAAATTGGGGTAAACATCGCAGGCACCTGAAAAAAACTTATATACGAAACGAAAATATCAAATTAATTATAGAATCGGTCGCACCTTGTGTTGTTGCCTCCGTGGTGGGCGGTATCCAATTGTACTCGTTGTTGCACATCGAGCCCTTGCAGCAGCAGAAATGTATGTTGCCCTGCCGCGGCTTGCTGCTGGTGTTGCAGGCGGTCTGATTGCACTCGTGCATGTACGTGAAGCAGCCCTTCATTTTGATTTTCTTGATGCCTGCAGTCAACACAATACAAATATCAAACATCAACGAAATAATCATCGAAATGTGCTGCAAGAAGTACACACCCGTCACTTCGTCGGCGCTCCATAGAACGTAACAGCTGGGAGATTTGTCCGCCTCCACCTGGCAGCGCTCGATGGTGATGGAGCAGTCGTTGTGCGTGGTGCAATCCTTCTCGTCATAGTGCTCGCAGTTGATGTTGTGGCCCTCGGGCAGGACGGCACCTCTGGCCGCAGGCAGCAGCAGCAGATGGCAGGCTATCAAAGAAATAAAATAAAACAAAAAAACAAATAAATAAAATGTATGTAATGAGAGGTGATGTATTTAAATGGCAGGCATTCTGGAATAGTAAATAAGTTGACTCAAACGGACTCCAGCGGCCGCCTTTGTAAACATATCACGTATCTACGACCTAAGGACCAACGACCCCAATTCGAATCCCAATCCCAACGGGCCAAGAGCTATGGGGAGTCAGCCCGCAATGAGCGTTGCCATTGAAAGCCAAGCGCACAACTTTCCATAGTCCCCAGCGAATGCTACGCAACCCCAATTCGTGCAGAGGGCCATACAAAATTAGCTCCACTGGCCACCCGAGCCTTTGAGTGGTCCCTATAACCCCAATGCAAATGCAAATGCAAATGCGAATGCAACTGCTGCTCCGTGTCTGTCTCTGCGTTGGGGCTAAATGTATGTATGTCTGTGTGTGTGTGTGCGCACGATTCGCGCGTAAATCCACGTGTGAGTGCAGATTTGCCATGGCGCACAGTGGTTCACATATCATATTTATTCACTACACAAATTTATATAGGAAAACAATTTTTTTTTATATTATACTTTTGATGCATTTTAAACACAATTTATTAATTGACTGATTTAAGAGAATATTTTGTCTATATATTTATATAATTTAATAAAATATATATACTATACATATTTCTTTTTTTTAATTTTTAATAATTTTTCTAGATTTTAAAAATTGTGTTTTTGAAACTTTCAATTTGAGCATATTCATTAGCATATATAAATTAGCATCAATTAAACATATTTAGCCCCACTGTAAACAAGTAATCGGATCTCGCAAAGTGTGTGTGTGTATGTATGTATGCATGGGAGCATGCTTTATAGTAAAGTAGATACATAAGCATGCACATTATGCAGATTGAAAAGGGATGAGTTTAAAGTGGCGCTTGTTGAAAATAAAGAAACAGCTACAGCAACAGCAACAACAGCGAGTAAAGAGAACTCACTGAAGCGAGAGAGTAAAACAGATTTTCACCCACGCGAACGCACAAACAACAAGTTTCTAATGCAACGTCATCCATTCAAAGAAATCACTACATACACACACACACACACACACGTTTGTAGATTACAACTGTAGTTGAAAACAGTAAAGCGCACTAAGAACAACTACAAAGCACGCGCCAAGCAATTCAATCAGGCGTAACAGAGGGCAAGTGTACCAAGGAAACTGTAAATAATATCGACAGCAAACCATTACGTACAAACAAAATGAAAAACACACACAAGTTATATATATGCAGACACACCATACCTACATATGTATGTATAAGTAAAACTATGTTCAATACATACCAAGAATTAGCTGCGCCACTAGATAAAGCACAAAATTGTACCTAGACATTGTTATTGCGTTATCGCTATAACTTGTTTACAACACTAAATGTATACGTAACTAAATACACAAGCGATATTTGGAGAATTTTTGTTTTTATTTTGGCACATAGAAAAACTTTTTTTGAGAAAATTGCGTTTTACATTCGATTTATTTCATCACGAACTTGTTGGCATTAAAGGCTTGTTGGCTGACTGTGTTCGTTGCACTTTTTAATCCAAGAAATTAATATTTGATATTATGTATGCATATATATTATGTATGTATATACATATGTATGAAGCGGTGTGCGTGTTTGTATGTAATTCATTTTCTGCTGCAGCAGTCGCAGCCAAGTTGCGGACCACACGTTTTTTCCATGTGCATTTTCACGATTTCTATTAGCATTATCATTAACTTGGCTATCACATTTCCTCCTGTAGCACTTTAAATGCGTTTATAAGCTGCATTTTATACTTTTCATAAATTATTATTACGCGATTTATTCATTTGCACGCAGCTCCTACTCGCAACTACGATTGTCACAATTGGTACAAGTGTACCAAAACTGTGGATACTTATCAACACATATTTGAATGCGGTAGCCCTGGTGCAAAACTTTTAGATATACAAAACTGTTATTGGTACAAGCGTCGAATAGCTGAACGGTTTACCAGCACTAGTTATTTAAAACAGTCCAGCGTCGATAGATATTTAAATTTAATAGATTTCTAATTTAAGGATTTTTTATTTTATACGGTCACACTTGTGGTATAATATAAATACGTTGGAAAGCGAGACTTCATAAAAATATTTCTTAATTTCATAGGTGTTTAATACGAACAGAATTTCCTAGAATAGTTTGCCCTTTGAGCTCACCATACCATAAAAACCCCCGCAATACAATTATTCGGAAATAGTGAAATAGCAGCAGATGGCGTGTTGAATGTCACGTTCTGTGATAGTTTATCTCGCCAATATTCTGATTAGATATAACAATAATACAAATAAGTTTGTTTACAAATATTATATACAATAATGAATTTTCTTAGATTAGCATCACTTGGTTCCATCCAGTTTGGTCAAGCCGTCGGCATACTGGAACTCCGGACTGTTCTCGTATTCGCACATGTCCAGGGCGATGACGCAGCTCTCCTTCACGACCCGCTTGTCATCATCCGAATAACGATTTAATATCTTAATGCATTCCTCAGTGGCGATGGCACCCAGTGCCTCGGCGCACTCGTGGCGAACCATTTCATTCTCATGGCGATCTTCCAGGTTCTCCTGTAGATAGGGTATGCTGCATGGATCCTGGAGCTGACCCAGCACAAATGCAACCTCGTGCCGGAACAGCGCAGATTTATCTTTAAGTCCTTCAGAAATAGCTAAAACACTCTCCTCTGTACGTAAATTCCGTAAACTGAACATCGCTCGATAGCGATCGAAGAGACTTTGATTCGCATCCAGATAGATTGCCTTTAATTCCTGTACGCTTTTTGTTCCTGCTGCTGGCGGCGATGGATCCACTGATGCATATGGATTGTTGTCATTCACTTGCTGACCAGTCTGCAGCCAGCGCACGCGATCCAGAGCAATGGCACAAGTCTCGGCAACCTCAATCACTGGATCCTCTTTGTATTTCTCGAGTATGGGCAGAACATCTGGGTGACCGATGGCGCCTAATGCTTCGGCAGCCTCATGGCGTACCATGGGCTCCTGACTGGTGTCCTGTAGTACTTTTGTCAATATTTCTACAGCTTGAGTATCCTGCATCTGTCCCAAACAATAAGCCAATTCGTGTTTAAGCAATGTGGAATCATCATCAAATGCCTTGCTGATTGCTTCAATGGCAGTGCCGCCGCCGATGTTTTTCAATGTAAAAAGTGCACGAAAACGCTCCTTGAGAGGCCGCTCTTTGTTGTTCAGGACTCCACCTATTGCTTTGATCTGTTCCTGGGACACCATATCTACTGTGTGTGATTAATGAAATGTAAATAATGAGCCGCCGTCGCCTGCCTCGTGGAAATTCGTCACTTGTATTAACGATAAGAAATTTATCGAAGCTATCTGCTAACCACCACAATGACATCATGTACTTTCCAACACTGTCGAAAAAGGCCGCCATAGAAGGTTGCTGTGCAACACTTGCATTTTAGAAGAAGCAAGTAGTCCAGTTGTTGGGTTACGTTTATCTTTGGCTCGTAAAGAAAACGTCGAAAAAGTGTAATATTCAACGAATTTTCTGTCGAAAATTCTAGAAACCCATAATTGTGTATACACCGGTGCTAAAGTCGATAAGTGAAATAGTTGATTTTTGTGCAAAATAACATAAATTTGCATTTAAAAATTTTGCGCGTTCAGCGTGGCGTGTGTATGTATATATGTGTGCGTAATATACCTGCTAGTTGCTTTATATCGCTGTCCCAGTGCGAAAGGAGAGCAGAAGAGAGAACTCGCTACTTTAAAGCAAAGCGTTGTAACTGAACGAAAACATTGCAAAATACAATTGATTGTATTTTGTAAGCAATATTAATACTAATACCAACATCAAAATGTCCGACGAGACCAGCTTACAAAAACCGGAAGGAGAGACGGTTGCCGAAACCAAATCCAACAACGATGAAGATGCAACAACTCAGCCGGCGGTGGATGAGAAGAAGACACCCGTAAGTGTTTAGAAATATGTAGGAAATCACATACTTGGATACATACTACATGCAAACTTGCATGGATGTGTGTGTGTGTGTTTAGGCACAGTCACAATTAACACCGGGGGTCGTGCGATAAGAGCGCGCTTTAGAGCTAACATACTCGCGCATTGTGACGAACAGAATTCTCTGGAAGAGCGGGGGCATTGTATGTATTTAGGTGACTGTATTGAACCCATAAGCAGAATTTTTCCAAAACATATCGAAAAACGCAAAACAGATACCACCACATTTTGAAGTACATATGTGAAATGTGTTCTATGTTGTTTTTTTCACTTTACGTTCGCTCTTTCGTGTTGATGTTAATTTGTTGCCCTCGTGTGCGCGCGCTTTTCCCAACATCCCCCGTTTGCGTGTGTGTGTGTATACACATATACCGAACGACGGTTGTGTGTGTGTATTTATTTTTGTATGTCGCGTGGTACACTCGCTACAGGCAATCGGTAGTCTCTTTTGTGCACGTTTTGCCGCTGCGCGCGTCTGTCTCGTTCTCGTTTGTTTTTATTTTTCTTGTTCTCTTTTGGACTTTTTGTTGTTTGCTGTACTTTGTCATACATGAATATGTATGTATACATGTGCACGTGTGTATATGTGTGCATGCGTGTATGTGCATTCATACGTTGCGCTTGAGAATGGGCATTTATTTACCGTTTAATATCAATGCTGCGGGTTGAATAGACGGGTTAATGATTTCTTGCATTCAAATCCAGTTGAAATCTCTTATTGAGAGATGTACGTGTATAAGTCGTGCAATATTTTGATGTGTATGTAAACAATCATTGTAGAAACGCACGCCAAAGCGACGCTCATTCATTGAGCGCGCTCAGCGCGAGAGTGAGGAGTTGGTGCGGACAATGGGCGGCACCTTGGAGCTGGAGGGTGGACGGCGTACTCGATCCAGTACTCGTGGTACTCCGACAAGAGGCGCTGATACCGTTACACCGCCACCAAGTAAAAAGGCTCGCACATCGCCAGCGATCGCAAAGAGCGGAGGACGGGGACGCGGTGCTCGAAAGCTGGATGTTGGAGGCGATGAAGAAGTTGAACAAGAGACAACAAAAGCCAAACCAGTAACTGTGGAGAAGGAGGAGGTGGAAGAGAAGGCTCAAGCAAGCAAAACTACTAAAGCAAATGTAAGTTAATGAGCTTTTTTATTATTTGTTATCAACTAACCTTAAATTATGAATTCAAGGCTACTGCGAAGAAAGGAAAGAAGGAAGAAAAGGAACAAAAACAGAAGGCAGCTGACGCGAAAGATAAGAAGGATACTAAGGACGCCGAGGATTCCGAAACAAAGCCTACAGAAACGAATGAACCTGCGTCAAAGGCCACAGAAAGTAAGGATCAACCTGATTCCGCTGCCCAGGAGCCTGCCGCACAAGAGGAAAAACAAAACAACATTGTTCACGATAAATCAGATACAAAAGAGCCCGAAGCAAAGGAAAAAACACCCGAGCCATTGACAAATGCGGAGGAACCAGCTAAAGTTGAAAGCCCACCGAAGAGTGATGCGACAGCTGCTGCTCCTGTTTCTGAGTCACCCATGGAAGTGGACGACGATGAGAAAGAACAATCAAACACGGATCAGAATACCGCTGATACAACATCCTCCGACATTTCTACACCTGCTGACATCACAGAATCTGTCGACAAAAAGAAGGACTCAGAAGAGTCGCAAGAAAGTGAGAGCAGTGGGGAGCCAAAACCCGAAACCACCGAAACTGCTGAGCCCGCCAAGCAGCAAACACCGGAACCCATGGAAGTAGATTCAAGTTCGAAAGTCAGCACAGAACCTGCCAGGCCCGTGTCACCCGTTAAAGAAGTGGCTCCAGTAGCAGCCGTTGTCGAAAACAACGACAAACCTAAAGCGGCCGAAGTGGAAACAAGCAATAACGAAGTCGTTGAATTGGCCACTGAATCCAAAGAGGATGCTTCAGTCCTTCCAGAGAAGGAAGCAAAAGCAAGCGAAGTCGAAAGCTCATCGCCAGAGAACAATACATCCAAAACTGATGAAGCTCCTGCCAGCAATGATGTGAGCAAGCTGGCTGCGCCAGTTGCCCCAATCGAAGTCCCATTAACGGAGGCGCCAGCCGCACCCGCCAAGGAGACAAACTGCGAAAACAAATCCGAGCACAATGACAATGGTATATAAATACATTTCATTCAAATATCTAGAACATTTTAATGAGACTTCATCTTGTTGCAGGTGAACCGAAGATCGTTAACAATGCCACCGAAGATGGCGAGAACCATGTGACGCCGCAGGCCTGCAATTAAGCAGCACCATAATTATAATAATAATAATGATGATGATGAAAACCAATAACTAAAGTTAAAAGCCGAATATGTACAAGTGTTGCTTCGGCTCATTTCGACAAGCCAACAAATATGCAAATCACGACGAGTTTCTCGTATGTCTACTACGTCGTACGCCCAACGCCTAACCAGGGCTAAATTCTGTTCCCATTGTCAAGATTTTTCTTTTTATTCTCAAACTACAAAAAATCGTACGCGATTGCAATTCACTAGACATCTTCCAGTCCTTGGCTGTAATGGATGCTGGACTTTCAATGCTGTTCTGTGTGAGCAATATAGACTAACAATAACACATCCACAGCAAATAGAAACTATCACGTAGCCCTAACCCGCCAATCTAAACACACACACAAAAACAACCTCCCACACACACACAAATTGTTAAAAGCAATCAACTATAAATAATATGTATGTGTAAAATTAATTAAATCGGAAACAAGAAATACATTATTAAGAAATGTATGTAAAATAGATGTTTTTAAATTTTAAGACATAATCTATAATGCGATTCTAATTTTAACAAACCCATTTGAATAACACTCAACACCCAAGAAAAGATTTTTAACAGCTGATGCGTCATTCAAGAAATAAAGTACATTTAGATATATACATATACATATATCTCTATATTATAACTTTGCGAATGCCATTCACACTTACCTGGCTATTAACAACAAAACCTTGTTTTTTTTTTTTATATTATTAATTTCAATATAATTTTTCTTATTTTGAAGTTGCTCACATTTAGCATTTAGTTATTAAAATTTTGTCATGTTGTATCAAACAACGCATCAATTGTATTCTGCACAGACATTGTAACACGAAAATCTTTTCCAGGCAATCTTAACTAAATTACGAATAGTACTGTACAATTTTTCAATGAAAAATTCTTAACACAAAACATAAAAAAAAAAAAAATACTTTGGAACTCTTTTTTATAACTGAAATAATCAGTCGAAACAGTTTTTGTATGTAGCTGGATACTTTCTGTATAAGAAATTCTTCATTTAAATATTCTTTTGTAAATAAATCGTTTAAAAATACAAAAGAGACATGACATTGTGTATTAACTAACTTAGTTTGTAAATAACAATTATGCGTTTTCCTGTCGCCCTTCTTTGGATGGAGGTTCCTTCAATGGCACCTCCTCCAGCTCCACTTCTGCTTCGGACACATTCAACAGTTGGCGTACGAATGGCGAATAAAGTTTGGGATTCAGCTTATCGTTCTTATCCGGAGGCCAGATATAGCTTAAGGGCACGGCACAAACGAAGATCAGGATTGCGCCTATCATTTTGTACCAGTAGAACGATATATCGAAGATTGAGAACTCGCGATTGCTGCCAAAGGCTGTTGTCACTTTCCTAGGGCCATCTGTTGTTATTGCTGGTGTAGTTGTTGTGTGATTTCTGTAAAATAAATATATATATTATATATGTTATATATCAGTTATATATATGTGTTATATATAAGAATGTCACGGCATTTACATGGCTGCAAGAATTGCATGGAAGCCTCGCGCCTCGCACTGATCCAAGCTGTTTGGCAGCACCTCGTACTTGATGAGTCCCGCCTTGATGTTTATCTGTGCTTTTATAATGAGCCAAAGCATGGCCAGCACACTGAATATGATGCTGGTCACTGCCACCTTCCCATTGACACGGGGCACAAACATGCCCAGCAGGAAGACACCCACAACGGCGCCCGTATTGATGCCCGTGACGGTCCACATGGTCTGCAGTATTGAGTTGAAGTGCTGCACGATGATGCCTCCCACAATGCAGTAGACGCCCATGGCAACCACGACCAGCTTCATACATCCATTGGCACGCGCCTCCGTATGCCGGATATGCGGCTTGATATAGTCGAAGTAGACGACGCCAGCGAGGGAGTTGAGATTAGCCGAAAGGGAACTCAGCGAAGCGCTGAAGACGCATGAGATGAACAGACCGGGCATGCCCGGCAAGTTACCCATTATGTCCTGAATGAAGAATGGCATCATTTTGTCTGGCTTGCTGACCAGCTGAGGATGATAAATAGATAAAAGATGAGGACCATAAATCTATTCAAATTCGGTCTACTTACGCCAGCTAACATGGGATCGCAGCCGAAGAAGTGAGCAAACATAATGATGCCGGTAAAACAGGTGAGGGACATGATTATTATGAAACCAAATCCCGCCACAACTAAAGATCTGTGGAAAATGTATTTATAAGTTGTAATAAAAATTAAGCCGAAACTTTGCTAACTTTCTTGCTTCCTGAAACGAAGGTAAGGAGACAATGCGCTGAACACAACTTTGATCGACTCCAATTTTACCCGTCCATAGTATCAACCCGCTACTAAAGCAATTCCAGATAGTAGACCGAATCCGTGGGTCTAGTCTAAAGCTACAAGCAATAATAGTTATACATGTTTTCCTTTCATCCCTTCACCGTACATCCTGACACTTACTCAATGTCCATGCGTCCGCCCTCCGAAGCATAATCCAGCACAGTGGCCAAGCCACCTGTTCCCATTATGCCCAATACGGCCACCATGATCACCGAGACAAGCATTACACCTCCCTGAACAACATCTGTCCAGACGACCGCCTTAATCCCTCCCAGCATGGTGTAGAAAACGCAAATCGAGGAGACAATTATGTTGATCAGGTGAATATTTACGCCGGTCACTGTAGAAAAGGATTGTTAATGAAGAACTTTTAGCATTTCTCATGTGAGCATGCCTTGAGAGAAGGCCAACGAGGGTATGAACATATAGACAGGCAGCATCAGGAATTGGCTCATAATGAACGTGAGAGTGACGAATCGACGAGTTCCCTTATTAAAACGCATCTCCAAGTACTGAGAAAATATATAATATGTATTCAGATAGATGGATAGATAATCTTTTGTTACTTACCTCATAGCAATTGACGACGTTGTTGTCGTAGAACACCGGCACAATAATGTGTATAAGGATTGGGACAGTTGGTAACATGGCTAGCACTCCGAATATGTAGTTCAAGCCAAATGTGTAGCTCTCGGCTGGAATAGACATAATCGACACACCAGATAGTTGGCTAAAATTCAGAGTAATTAGTTAATATGAATCGAATAAAATTTATGCTTGTACTTAAATCAAATTAATTTATACAAAGTTGTTGGAAAGCAAGTTGAAACCTGTTCGAACGGCATGCAAAATCTTGTTGACCAATTTTTCACTGTCGCAGATGGAATTTTCCATGCGTGGATTTGTCAATCATAACTAGAGTAACATGCGCAGTTCCATATCCACTAGGCTGATTCTCCGCCAGTCAATCATTTGAGTATGCAGATTTTAAAACATATTATAAGGATATCAAGCGCAGCCACGAACCTGGAAACTAAGGATATGGCAATGGGCAGCGCCTGCATCTTCTTGCCCCCGCGCAGGTATTCGTCGGTGGTGTTCCTTGACTTTGAGTAGAGGCCAAAGTAGAGGCCAATGGCTGCTGAGACACTCAACAGGAATAGGAATATGGAATAGTCCGTTATGCTGAATTTCAACATCTCCATTTCGTATGTGGCTGCACTGTTGACCATGGTGGCACTGGCTGCACTGCCCGGCATCCTCGAGTTTCTAGTACGACTGAGACTTGTTTGCCGAACAAGTCGGTGCAGCTGCGAACGCAGTCGGCTCAGTTATGAGCATTGCACTCAAAGATTTTCGCTTATGTAGAGATTATTGATAGTAGTATATCAGTAATTAAAATATCTGCTAGGCATTGCACCAAAAGCAACGAGTCCCCGTAAAGTAGAGCCAACATTTGGCTAAATCCAAAGTTCAGTTGACAATGAGATGAGTGAGAGTCTTAGGAGTAATGAACAAATTGTGAATTTAATCAAATGGTTTATTAAATCTATAACAAGTATTCTTTCTGCGGATGTAATTTGTATGTAAAGATGTCTTCTAGAAGGCTTAACTCTTAATTGCATGTAAGGAAGTGTCTGTAAGGCTGTTAAGATACTTTGTTTACAGCACACTTTATTTCCAAGACATTTTTCGTTAAACTATTCTTGTGTGAATAAACAGAAAACGTTCTAAATACAAAAGGGACAGAACAGTGGGCAAAGCTAACTAAGCTAGACATTATTAACAATCATGCGGCTCCATTTTCCTGTTGCCCTTCTTTGGATGGAGTTTCCTTCAATGGCACCTCCTCCAGCTCCACTTCTGCTTCGGACACATTCAACAGTTGGCGTACGAATGGCGAATAAAGTTTGGGATTGAGATTATCGTTCTTATCCGGAGGCCAGATATAGCTTAAGGGCACGGCACAGACGAAGATCAGGATTGCGCCTATCACTTTGTACCAGTAGAAGGATATATCGAAGATTGAGAACTCGCGATTGCTGCCAAAGGCTGTTGTCACATTCATAGGCAATGGTGTTGCTGTTGTTGTTGCTGGTGTAGTTGTTGTGTGATTTCTGAAAGACAAGACATAATCAGCATATGTATATATTATTTATAGGAAGGTAAGAGAACATACATGGCTGCAAGAATTGCATGGAAGCCTCGCGCCTCGCACTGATCCAAGCTGT